ATATGTTTCGAGGTAAAATTCTTTTTCACATATTTAGTGCAGTTTAAACAATTAAGGATCTTATAATTGACATCTATTATTTTTCATCGTCTGTCAAATTTATATTTCTATAGATATTCTTTGCTGATTTCAAAATGTAAATAAAAATAGGTTTTGAGTTTTAACAACCCTTGCTGCTTCATATTTTAGTTTTTCTAAAGTTTCGAGCCTTAGACATAATTATCATTCAGAGTAATTTATTTAACATTGAATTTTATCAATTTCATTCATACTAAAACTTTTGATGCAGAGGAGACGACATTTGCGATATGTTCATACCAGTTACCGTCTTGACCTAGATGTTTATTTTGGTCTACAAAATTAGGTTTAACATTATCAAACCATAAATTGGTTAGAGTTCGATTGGCGTATTAGTATGTAAATGTCCCTTTTGATATTTTTCTTTGTTAAAGATTAGTAATTTAACATTTTACCAATTCTTAGACTAAGTAAGAATGTTAAAAAGGTCGCGATAAAGAGTTTTTTCTCGATTACATTTACACTGTTTGGTGTTACTGCAAGGGAACTGTCGCCTGCAAAAGTTCTTATTACATATAGGGAATCAGCTATATCATTTACGAACATCGCAAAACGAAAGAGGCCTAAGTACCGAGCATTTTGGATGATCACAGTATAAGTAAAGAAAAAGAAGTATTAACAAACACATTTCGATTCCTGTGTATCAGATAATTTCAAACATACTGATCAATTTTCATTCAGTCTTAATCTATTCTCTAAAGCCTTATTTTGAAAATTAAACATTTACTCTTTCAAAAGCTTTGAACTATAACACAATATTATACATGTCGATTCCCTGGTAACAAAATACATACAAATTTGGTTTTAAATTTCTATTGATAAATATTGGAATGTCCTGGAAGGAAAGCCAATTGGTTTTGAAAAATAAGTGAATGCTCATTAAAAAAGTTATAAATATAAAATTATGTTAAAAGATATTTCCTTCAATAACTTTTCCAAAATAGTGATATTGGTCGGTAATTAGTTTCATTAGTAATATTTCATATTCATTTCCTTTCTTATGTAAAGGTATAACATGAGACAATTTCCAAATTAGATGGGAACATATTATTAGTTATAGTTCGATTAAAAAGTTGACACAGAGTTTTGTATATTGATTAAGATGTCTCTTTCAACATTCTTTGATCAATTTCGTCAGGACAAATAGCGTTATTAATGGTATGATTATCTAATATATCTTCTATTAAGTTCTTAAAATTGTTAAGTTTTTAAGTTCAGTGTGTGATTTGTCAACATTTGAAATTAAAACAAAAATAAACCGTTCAATGTATTTGTTGTTGTTGTTTTGTCAGAAAATGATATATCTGAGTTATTACTTTAATGAGGTGGAATATTTCGGGAATCAGAAAAGTTTTCTTTGACGAGCTTTTTTCCGTTTTCCAATATTTGCGTATTTACTTTTTATTAAAATTGTTTAATGAAAAGTGTAAATTGTTGTAAAGAACGTGTTCAGCATGCTTTTTATTATTTACCAGTTTTCTTGTTATTTTTTGGTGTATTTATTCCAGTCACATATGTTATTTGAATTCAATGCTTTTATGACCTTGTCTATTTCTTAGTCACGACGTTTTTTCCGAATTTCGGTATTAAAACAATGTTCATATCCTATATTTAGACCTAACTATGACTATTTTGTTATGATCCAGAAACTTTTTCCTGTTAACTGAATTCGTTTATTTTCACTTTCGGTCATTCATTGATCCTACTTTCGTTTTGAAGCTTTAATACTCGTGTATTTTCTGGATACTGTATCTTGTCGATCATTTTCAGGGAATTGTATGTTGCGAATGTGAACACATGTTTTGATATCATTTATTAAACTAAAGTTAGAAGAATCTGAGAAATAGATTTCCATATACAATGAACTTGATAAATAAATTGAAGTAAAACGTTTAAATGTAATCAGACTTTTTTTCTTATCAAAACTCAAATATTTTGTTGAAGCCCCGAACTCTAGCCAAGTTGTGATATTAATCGTATTTAGCCGTAAACAAAAGGCCACAGAGAAGCTACCAAAACTATTTTGATATATTCTGTTTAATCAAGAGTTGGGCAATCTTCTGAACTCCGAACCAACAACTACTAGCCTAGAATAACCATAGAATGCAGATAAACTTACAAATAAAATGACCAAGCGCATCTCAATTTCTAGAGCGTAACAATAAAAGCAAATTTCACATGCAAGATAAATAATTTCATTGATACTGAACGACCAATCGCGTATAAGGGTATTGAATTTAGTAAAATCAGCGATTTGTTATTTCACACTCTGCTTTTAAATGGTTTAATTGTGTCTAATTTGATTTTGAAAACAATGTAGATTCCGAAATGATAAACTATTCCGGTTTTGCCGAATCTAAAATTTGAATGTTGTTTGTTATTGCTAAGGGATCAATTACTGTACTTGTAGTTGACGTAACACGAGTTGGTACTTGAATAACATTGGCCATATCGTTGATTAATAACACGTTACAAAGTTTATCATTTGAATAATTCATTTCTTTCTCATACCATGACTATGAGGTTTTGCATCTTTAGAGAAAGTTCTAAACACTAATTTAATTTTTCTTAAGACGACCGTGTAATGCGGGGACATATATATGGTACATAATAGATATGAATGATTTTTTTTTTTGTATTTTATGTTTATCCAAAACGTATCGGGAATGATGTTTAACAATAAAAGCTATATTTTTTGGTCTTAAAAAAGCGAAAATTTATCAACAAACCCCCAGCATGACATGAATTATCCTTCAGAAACATATGTTTGAACCCCGGTAGCATTTAGTTGTTATCTTGAAGATTTGCATTCAACTTTGTCTGCGTAAACACAAAATATCACAATCGAGAACGTTATCATTTACAAAGTCTATTTACTTCTTATGTCACGAATATTTTGATGGTATATAGTTAAACAGTTTTCCTTACTAATCTCGGGACCTAAGTTTGATTCAGTGTCGCCAACTGTGTTTAAAATTAATTTCAATACATGTATAAACCTTTCGAGTTTTGATTTTATAATTCACTATAAACATTTTCATAGTATATTATTAATAATCTCGTGATAAGGAATTGTTATATCTTTGCATTTTCTTAAATAATCAGCTGTCACAAACCTTCGTGAATTTCAGTCGACATTGTTTAATTTTAAGAAGTATGAATGACTTGTATCAAAAATAAATTTGATTACCGTTTTGATGAAACCTTTTCAATCAATCTGAAAAAAAAGATAATAATGTTTAATAATGTATAATTTTAGCAAGACGTGCATCTATATACAAGTAGAGTAATGAATGTATGTTTGGAAATTCAATTCATTGTGTCTTTATAAGACAGATCTACTGACTTTATTTGTTATGAGGTGTCAGTTTAACAGAAATAAGGAGTTAATGTATAGCTATAGATAATTAGGTCTCCATCTAAAAATGTTGATGATTTCAAAATCAGTTTGTATTTTATATAAGGTACAGGTGAACAATGAAATGTTATTCATCTGAAATCAATAATTATAGTCATTTGAATTTTTATTCGCTGATTTTTAAAGCTTAAGACATCAGGTACTAAAATTATCAAGATAAAAAAACAAACGTTTGAAAGAGATTTGTTCAAACACACTAATTCACATAAAAAGCATTAAACAATTACTGTTGCATCAAAATTGACAAAAATAATGCAATTTACTTTTCTGCATTAACAATAGCAGCTGATAATTTGCTTTCGTCTGGAGATTCTTTTTGGCGAGCACCTGCTCCATGCACTGCAAGAGGTGGCGTACCCCTGGATGCATCTGCTTCCAAATTTTTGCAAGCTTCTTGTAGCTTCGAATATAATGTCTCTACTTTGGAAAGCAAGCCCCTGCAGTGTGACAGTTTCAATATTTAATTAAAGCTATGCAAAAGACTTCCTCATATAACATTTGTTTGGGTCGTGACTAAAAGTAAATATCACCGAATTATATCTAAATTTGGGTAAAATATTTGAAATATTAAAACTCTTTTAAGCTGACGAAATGCTATCATTTTTTTCTCAAAATATTTTTACTTTTTATTTTGGTGTCTCGTTAGAGTTTTCATAATGTTACTCAATGACCATAGGGATGAACTATTTTTGCTTCGGAATCCTTTGCAATTGATATATAAACAGTATGTTTTATATTTGGCTATCTTTACGACACATAACTGCATGATCAGCCCCATGTTTTAGTTGTCTAACATAATGGCATCTAACATGATCTAAACAAGTAATTTATACATTATTAAGCACATAGTTTACCCATCTAAAGAAATTGAAAAGAAAACAGCAACAACAATGATTAATGAGGCAGAAAGAGTCTTCAAACCTGGTTTATCTGGAAGTGAAATAAGTTAACATACTTAATAAACAACTGTCAATGACAGATTGACAATCAAATAGAGTTTATTTTCCAAATTAGCAGCAGTTAGAAGCTTTTTAGCCTCGTGTCTATTTAAACTTATCTAATAAAAAAATCTTTAAAGCGCAACATATGTCAATCCATGAATACAATTTATTAAATAGATGCAATGAGGCTTCGAATTATATTTAAGCAATATTGGATCAATTGCAAATTGAAGAAAATAAGTAAAACAAAAGGGGGTTTCGTTTTAAAATATGCATCGATTAATAACTGGGTCTTATGTAATTTATAATTCAAATTCTTATTAGACATTGTATTTTCAAATGTTTATTTCAATTTTTATAGATATCACACAATGACATAGAATATCAGAGACATCATTTTTCCAATTTGTATAAACCTGAAATATTATTACAAACGATATAAAATAGAAAATGAATATATGATTGTTGCTTTATATAGTAATATTATGAGGTTATAATATACTGTTGAGAACAATACTGAAGTTATTGTATATTGTAGTGATGCATTACATTATTAAATGGGTAGTAACTCATATCTCACGACTCTAAAGCAAACATAATATCACATAATTATGCTAATATTATGCAGTAAAGTAGATTAGTTTTCAATAAATAAATATATTATACGATAAAGATTATATCAGACTACATTAAATTTTGTCTCAAATAGACCAGTACAAGTTGTTTTAATAGGTGTCACACTAGCTTTTAAGATATTGAGATTTTCAGAAATATACTGTAAGCTGTACCTTTGGTATTTACTTCTACTTTCAATGTTGTTGCAAATTTTCTTTAAAATTACAGAAAGTTGTGCTGACTCAGAATTTCCATTAGGTTTTTTATCAAATGCCTTGTCATTGTATTCATCTTTCTCAGTTTGCTGTTTCAGCTCATTCAGCCACGTTTTTATATCATCGTCACTTCAAAAGAAAAAAGATAGGTTTTATCAACCTTAAATGTCAATTAGTGAAATACTTTTTTCTATATCTTACAAAAGGATTTACATATTCAACATATTTATTTGATTTTTTGCAAGTAAAATATAGGTACCATCAAACACTTTGGAACTAAATGAGATATACTCACAATATAAGAACAGTGTAACGGACATAGGACACAATATATTAAAGACATAGGGCCAAATACATTTTATAACGTACCAGTTTATAATGATAATAGTCACATAATATATGATGACAATTGGGTTGATATAATTACGATTTTGCTATGATGGTGATGAAGATTTTGATGATGGAATAATGGATGATGATGATAATTGATATATCGATGGTGATGGAGGTGATTATATGATGAATATGATAGTGCAGTTTTTGATAATGATGATTTTGATAATATTAATAATTCAGGTGCAGATATTTTTTCTTGCTGACAAGTATGATGATGATGGTGATGAAATATGATTTTCATGATGAAAGATGTGATGATGATTTTGATGAAGACAGAGTCGATAATGATTTCGACGATAATTGACCTGATGCTTTTTTAAGTGATGATAATTATGAAGGGCGGTGCGATGTTGATGATTTTGTTCCCTCCACACCTTCTTTTACTCCCTAGGTCTAATATTCTTCTCTTCACGCCTTCATTATAATTTACAAGTTCACGCCTTCATCATAATTAACAAGCCCTGACTTTCAGCTGTAACCCACATTATGTTTTATAAAGCGTGTTGCACTGTGTTCAGCTTACGACATATACAGCTTACACAACACAGTTAACCGTTAGGTAAATGCGCCCAGATGCTGCATAAAACCGTATTTACATGTATATAGCAACTATGAATACGGCCATGACTACACCATTAAGAAATACAATTTTGGCATTGACAATGACCACGATGACTTCGACCACTGTTATGATGTCTACAACTTTCATGACGAATGCAGAGCTATGACTACGACAACGAAAACTAAAACTTCTAACAAGTTTATCTATGACTACAGTAAGACTTAAACTCCGACGACTACGGGCATTACTACGACGACGAGTTCTACGACCTAATGTACCGCTACAACAAATACGATAACCATGAATACAACTAATTACTACGGGAACAGCTATGTCGAATGCCAAAACTACGATGTCGACTACTATGAGTAAAGCTAAGACTACCTTTGGTATTTCCTACGTCTTTTACGATTACAATGTACAAGTAATTGTCTACGAAGGCTAGGACCGACCTCAAAAACGACTTAAAAGACCACACAGACACTTACGACCATACAAATGACCACGGCAACTCATTAAGTAAGTATATCGACAAATACGGCTACGACTTCACCAACGATTACGACCTCTACGATATTACGATCATAAGTCGTCGACATGAAGACAACATTGAAAACGAGTACTCTAGACTTCTATGATTTCTAGTATAGCTACAACTTACAAGTCGACTTGTAAACAATGAGTAGTTATACAACGATTGCATATCTATGACAACGTCTACAACCACGACTGCTACGACAACGTTTTTTTTTACTATGACGTCTGTTACGACAACGGCGACAACTACAACGGGTACGATGGCTTCGACTGACTATGATAATGGCTACTAGAACTGATCTCATCTGCAGTCAAACAAGAAGTATCTTTAAACAAGATACTCGGACTTTATTTGCATATCGCATTTCACATGTTTTAGGAAACATGGAAATAGAATCATAACGATTATGATATTGTGCCTATTATTGTATTAACGTTTACATTTTTGAAATATTAAAATCATATGCATATGTTGACACAAACATGAAAATTATTAACTTTATAACGTTATCCATTTCACATAAATAATTGATAATACGAGATAAATCTGTTTTCTTGTGTTCTTTTCGCTATTTTCATGCATGAGTAAATGGGATCATGGGCGTACATGTAAGTGGTGGTTTCGTTAATGTTTGACAAAAGTTATAACTCGTAAAAGCAGCGTAAAATAATATAAAGGAGGATTAATTTATTACCCTATTAACTAGTATCTGCATATTGGGTGCTGTATAAAGTGCAGTCCCAGTAAAACAAGAGCATGCGGTGTTACTCTGGACATACAGTACTGCTTAAAATTCAACATTAAAACTTTCGTTATGTATTGACTAAACATTGATATCATTTAAATCTAATCGAAATTAGTTTTGACATAAAAACCTGTGTTAAATCGATGTAATTCAGAGAAATAAAAAAGGTGGGCATAGATAACTTACTTGGTCTTTGGTAGGATGATGCCTCTTTCACCAACCTGAAAATAGGGCGATAAAACATTAAAGAGTTAATATTAAAGTAAAAACAATGAATGTTATGAAGTGCTCTATATGTTAGATGAATGAAATACTATCATATACTTTCAAACCAAGCATGTATTCACATACGCTACAAGAATTGTACTTTGTTCACTTGTAATAGTTATATTACACAGGCAAAACAACTTTAGTACATGCAAATGCTGAACATTATCGTTCGATATCATTTTAAGTCATCAAAACAACAATAATAAAAGGTTAATTAACATTTTTTAACTGAGTTTCAAAAGGAAGTGTGCACTTGGTTTCAGGGTTTTTTTTATACATAATATCTAAGATATATATATATTTGAATATATGATGACGTAACATATATTGGAATATATGATGACGTAACGAGGCAAAAAAGCGTTAAAAATCACAATTGTGCGTTGTAACACCGCACTTTAGGGTGCAATGCACTTTGGAGTTTGACTCCAAAGTGCGTTTCGTACTTTGGGGACCAATTTTGACCCTAAAGTGCGTTAAACAAGTACATATGCATTTTTAACATCAGAAAAAGGACCGCACTTTAGGGTCATAAAAAGTCAATCAATAAAAATGAATTTTCATGACTTTTAAATGATATATTGTGTAATCAAAGCCAACGGTAAACATAAGTAGACGCAAAACATGTGCCCTGAATTATAGTAGAATCAATAAGGATTTTAAATCATCATGATCAGTTAGAGAAGAACTTTCATCAAATAAAAACAATTGTATCAATTAATAAGCTCAAAATATATTTTTCTCACATTTTCCATTTATTTTAAAAGAATGTACACATTACATTAACACCATTATGTTTAGGTAATTGCATCATTTTCCCGCTTTTTTATTTACACATTTTATAGAAATATGATAGTCTTAGTTAAGACAAAGGTAAAAATCCTGGGAAATCTAAATAATACATTTCAGTAAAAAATGTGCCTGATCAAATGTTGAAAGTGCCATTTATTTAGCTTATCTAAATGTGACATTTATGAAACTTGACTAGGTGTAGATGAGGCCTTAAATAGTAGTAGTCCATACAGGCAGTAAAACTATTTTAGTATATAGTAACACATTAAGAGCGAAACTTCATAAAAATGTAAAGCTCTCACTGAGGGATCTAGATGGGATGGTGTCGATCGTCCCGAAATTATGAAAATAACGTTTTAAAGGCCCATTATTCTTTTATTTGTATTTCTTAAAAGTTTTTTTAACTTTGGTGTACTTCTATAGTATCCAAAAAATTACTCATTGGCCAATTACCTGAACCATCTTTTTCATCTGTTGCTTTTTTTGCGATGAGTACATTTATAGTGAATCAGTATTTTATATGGAAGTAAAATACTGCTTTGTTTATATTTTGCTACTGTTATGACAAATGATTTCACATTATGGCTACTTTATACAGGTAACAAGCATCTTACATTTCTCTGAATTCATTATTTAAACACAATAAAATGTTTGCCCTTTCTAAAGAAGTATGTAAGATTTCCCATTTAAAAAGTCACTGGCGAATTTAAGTGTGAAGTACGCGGGGTAACGGGCTAGCAGTCTAGCGGGCTAACAGTGTGAACTGAGCGGGATGGCAGTCTAGCGGGATAACTGTGTGAACTGGGCGGGCTAGCAGTCGAGCGGACTAACAGTGTGAACTGGGAGGGCTAGCAGTCTAGCAGGCTAACAGTGTGAACTGGGCGCGCTAGCAGTCTAGCGGTCTAGCAGTGTGATCTGGGCGGGCTGGCGGGCCAGCGGCCTAAACTCTGAAACTTAACAGATTCAACATGAAAACGTTATGATACATATCCTAGCAGTTTGAAGTGGGCGGGCTAAGAGTGTAGTGGGCTAGCAGTGTCGACTGAGCGGGCTTGCGGGCCAGCGGGCTAAACTTTAATACTTAATTGAACCGACATGGAAACGTTATAATACATTTCCTAGCGGTGTGAAGTTGGCGGGCTAACAGTGTAGCGGGCAAGCAGTGTGAACTGCGAGGGCTGGCGGGCCAGCGGGATAAACTTTAATACTTAATTGAATCATCATGAAACGTTATGAAACATTGCCTAGCAGGGTGAAGTGGGTGGGCTAACAGTGTAGCGGGCTAGCAGTGTGAAATGGGCGAGCTGGCGGGGTGGCAGCTGGCGGGCCAGCAGGCTAAATTTTTATACTTAATTGAATCCACATTCAAACCTCATGATACATTTCCTAGCAGTGTGAAGTGGGCGGGCTGAAAGTGAAGCGGGCTAATAGTGTGAACTGGGCGGGCTGGCGGGTCAGCGGGCTAAACTCTAAAACTTTACTGATTCAACATGAAAACGTTATGATACATTTCCTAGCAGTGTGAAGTAGGCGGGCTAACAGTGTCGCGGGCAAGCAAAGTGCGTTGAACCCCAAAGTTGGGTGTTACAGTGCGCCCCTAACATTTTACCCTTTCGCTACTTAAACGCTACTTAAACCATGTAAACGAAACAAAACTTCTTATTACTATTAAATTCCAATACAAATTAAAGTATTGTATGGTTTATGCATTTCTGCAAACTTTCAAACCAAATTTGCCTCTATTTTGCTGATGTATGTGGTATACATAACTTACAACCAAGTGAATACTTCGTTTTGCAACTAGGTATATTTATGTATAAA